AATGCTTCCTTTTGTGATCTGATGAGGCTTCTTGTCACAGAATGAGGCAGAAAATATGTTCCATATGCTACTTTAAAAAGAATACATCGATTAGCAATAGATTATAAATTAGGGTGACCATATACGTCCTCTTTTCCCCGGACATGCCCTCTTTTTGGATCTACAAAAATGCGTCCGGCCGGGATTTCTTAATTGCCCAAAATGTCCGGGATTCGGCTGTTTTCTTAATCCCACTCCCGCTGAATCTCTGACCATTGCCGCCTGCTCCCCGCAACATGTGTTTCGTGAATGAGCGTTTGCGTTGTTTACTTTCACCTTCGATTTCACGATCACACGCACTCTGTGTAACGGGAGCACATCTTACAAGATCAGATATTTGTCAATGAGTGGAATGACCTGCCCTGCTCAATCCAATCAGCTGAGTCCTTAATATTTTCAAGAAACGGCTGAAAACACATATCTTTCATCTTCATTTGACCCTCTAACTCTAGCACTCTCTATTCTAATGCTACTTCTAATTTTATCTGCTTGTTTTTTTTATTAAAAAACTTGATGCTCTAACATTTGCACTCTCTATTCTATTTCTAGTCTAACTACTTGTTTTATTTATAAAGAAAAAATAGCCTCTAACACTAGCATTCTCAATTCTTTCTCTGTTCTTTAATAAGTATCGGTTCAGGCACCGTTTAGGCACCGGAACCGTTTTAAAAGTATCAATTTGGCACCGGTATCGAAAAAACCCAAACGATACCCATCCCTACGCATGACAATCGCAGCTTCTGTCGAATCGCGATTTCGATTCCATTTCGATTTATTGTGCAGCCCTACTTTTTCAGTACTGCTCAAAGCCATTGTATTCTCTTGAGCACAATGTTTTCTGAACAACACACCTGCCGTATGCGCCTGCGTTCACACTTGTACTTCTCTACCCTGATGTGTTGTTTTTCCAATGCTGTAATTATTTCCACTAATGCTTGGAGCAGTTTGGATTACATAACACAAGTCAGGACTGTCTACTGACTTTTTCCCCCCTCCTCTAGAAATTGTGGCAGACGCTAGAGGTGATTTAGCCAAGCCAGAGTGCAGCGAGACCTCAGACCACAGCGAGGAAACTGAGCAGACTTCAGGTACTTCATCTACTCTCTTTGCCTTCAGTGACACACACACACGTTTAATGTTATCGAAGATGCTGTTATCTTAAAACCATAACCACGATGCTTGGGTATGTCCGTTTTAAAGGACGTTCAAAAAAGGTGGTTTAGAATAAATTTGTTGAAAAATGACATTTTTCTCTGACAGTTTGATGACCATTTCACAACAACAGATGAAGACAAGCAATTAACTAGTCCATAACCATAAATCTTGAAAAATGAAGTCAGTGTGAAACAGCATTCACATCCATTTTATTTCTATAATTTAACATAATTAGGACATGAGGATTTTCACCAAGAGAATTCAAATGGACAGGACTCTCTTTTATACATTTGCATGTTGCATAGTGGTGTATGTGTGTGTATGTACATATATGTCTCTCTCTCTCTCTCTCTCTCTCTCTCTCTTTCTCTTTCTCTCTATATATATATATATGCATATATACAATTGATAGAGATATCAATATAGAACTGTATATATATTTCTGATAAAGATTTCGAAGAAAATCTTTTATTCAACTAGTCTACAACAATAAAGAAATTGTAAAAAATTTTAAAAATTACAAATAAAATTTTAATTGAAAAAAGGCTCCTGTATGATATATTGCTTCTGTTTTTCCTCTTTTGGCCATTCACTTTGGATAAATGCATCTCCTAAATGAATACATGTAAATTTAATTCAATGTACATTAAGGTGATTTAATTGTTATTGCGTGTATTTAAATATACAACATTTTATATAATGCTATATAGTCCAATGTGCTTTTACATGCCAACAAAATAAATTTTGTTGAATCTGATCAGCCAAGTTATTCATCAAGATTTTTGGTTAATATATGAATGTATAAGATCAACATTTCTTTTTCACCATTTTTATTTACCATGTTACCTATACAAGTCCATTTTAAATGGTATTATAGTGTGTAAAATTATTTTTAAAAGGTACAAATAATCAGTTAACTCTCAATCAATATGAGCTCATTAAAGTTGCATTCATTAGAATTTATGATAGAATTAGAATTCTATTGAAAATAGTTTTGTATGTAGTGTAATACATCAATCCTATTTAAGCAATAGTAAAATAAGAATAGAATAATCTACTTCTTCATGAAATCATAACAATATTCAGTATTTTTTATGATAATAACAACATTATGGGCTATTTTTACCCTCTGACCTACAATGGAAAATCCCGGTGTTTTTTTTTTTTTGTAAATCCTTGGAAAGTCATTTTGAATGTTCTTCTGCTTCTTGCATTTGCAGTTACATCTCCTCAGGGGACAAAAGGTCCTAAAGATTCAGAGCCGCATGAGCAGAAACTGGTTTCAGCTCCAGAGACGTCCACAGTACAGCAGCTTGTGTCATCCTTTGAAACAGAGGAGCCTCCAGAGACGTCATCTACACTCACGGAAAACATCTCCCAAAATGAGGATGACAGCAAGCCCTGCCTGGAGGAGCAGAAAACTGACCTATCACCCACCAAAGAGCCAACTCCAGCCTGTACCTCCCATGAGGAAGAACCCATGGAGGTTTCCTTCACGGAGGAACCTTCCACAATGGCTCATGGAGTTACTGTAGAGCCTGAGGTTAGTACTGCTAAGACTACGCCAGGAGTTCAGAGCCAGGAGGAAATGGATGTTATGGTGCAGCAGCGCAGCATTATTCCAGAGAGCCGCATGCAGGAAATGGACATCACTATGGATGGTGATGAGCGATTTTTGGCCAAGCTGAGTTCACTGGTGGAGGAGAGGACGTCATTACAGCAGCCTCCATGCAGGCACCCTGAGGGTTTGCCCTCACATGGGCTTGGGGCATCCCAGCTCCAGCTCCAGGCAGTCTCAGGAAAAGCCATCAGCAATGTGCCTTCATCCACCTTCATACCATTCACTCCAAAAATCGGCATGGGCAAGCCGGCTATCTCTAAGAGGAAATTTTCACCTGGAAGACCCAGAGTCAAGCAGGTCAGTCATATACTTTATGATCAGTTGTGTGGTGGTTTACTTAATCCGTCATCTGCAGATTCCTGTTTATTTTTTAGGTTAATTAATAGACATAAGGCTTTGTTCAAACAGACAATTACATTTTTGGTAATTTTGGCGTATCCATCTTGGTTTTATTACGTTATTTGTGATCTCAAAAGAAAATAAAAATCACAATTTTGACTTTATTTCTTGTCATTTTGACTAGTTAGTAGTTAATATCTCATAATTTGACTTCATATCTCACAGTTGCAACTTTATTTATCGTAATTGGAACTTTAAATCTCAATTTGACATTGTATCTCACAAATGCTTTTTTTCCTGAAATTGTGGCTATATATCTCAAAATTTTTACTTAATTTCTTGTAGTTGCAGCATTATATTGCACAACTGCAACGCTATTTATCGCAATTGTGACTTTATATCTTAATATGACATTGTACCTCATAAATGTGATTCCCCCCCCGTAATTGTGACCTTATATCTCACAATTGCAATTGTATTTATTAAAATTGTGACCTTGTTTGTCATAATTACATTATTTCTTGTAATTGCGTTAACGTTATTTCTCATAATTGCAACTTTATATCCCAGAATGACATTGCATTTCACAAATGCATTTTTTTTCCCTGTAATTCTGATCATGCAGGCAGCCTTTAACACAATTGTGACTTTATTGCTTATAATTGACTTGTATGTCACAATTGCAAAAAAAAAAATCCTGTAATTTTGGCCATATATCTCACAATTGCGACTTTATTTCTGGTAAAACACACAAAAAAAGATAATTCTAGTAATTGCAATGTTAATTGCAACATTAATTAGTCATAATTGTGACTATCTCAATATGACATTATATGTCACAATTGTGAATTTTTTTTCCTGTAATTGTGACCATATATACCACTATTGCGACTTTATTTCTTGTAAGTGTGACTTTATATCCCACAATTGCGGCATTATTTCATGTAGTAGTGACTTTGTTTCACAATTGCACATTTATTTCTTGTAATTGTGACTATTTCTCGTAATAGCTAATTGCATTTTTGAAATAGAATGTAGCAGTTTTATTTTTTACTCTGAGGCAGAAAAATGTTTCCATATGTTTCAGTCTAAACACAGCATGTCTCAGACATGCTCTCTATATGGATAGGCTAAATATTTGTGATTTGTGAATGTAAAAGTTTGATTTTGTGCAGGAACAACCTTCCATGCGTCAGAAGCTTTATTATAGACAAAACATTTGATAAATTGAACGTTTTATGAGACAACACAGGCTTCAAATATCAGTTCAAAGGGGATTATTTCAGCATTAGACATCTCACATACATGTCATACTCAGCCATCAGATCATCATTCATGCATCACATCCTGTTTCTGATTGTGTTTTCCTGTTAACCAAACAACCTCTAATTCATAAAGGCTGTGTCTGAAGGCATCTGCCTTGCTGTCCAGTCTGCACAGACAGTTTTATTCAGACCAGCATTCGGGGAAAAATAACGTCATGTCTAATGATCTAGAACTAATGAGGTTTAAAATTCAAGTGAGCTTTAAACATAACCAAATGAATATCTAATGACTACAATGTCTTTCTTGGTAAAAAGGGTAAAAAATAAATAAATGAATGAATGAATACAGAAAGAAAGAAAAGAAATTCCCCCCAAAGAGCGCATGCATGAGTACATGCATTTGCATATTTGGTTAAAAACTGATGTGTTAATTTCACTTCAGGCAGCTTTATGTTTTAATTGAGCAAGTCTTAATTCACAGCCATCATCGTGATTTCCGGATTATCGCTAAGTATTAATTAAATTTATAGCCACAAACGGATTAATTAGAGGAATTAGGCGGCTGTAAGAGGCCTGCTCTTTTGCACTCTTCGTGCGCTGGAGTCATGTGATGTCATGCTGACATAATCGCAGGAGTTTGTAAACAAGACTGAGTGTCTCTGTTGTCATGGCAACAAATGTAGCACAAGCATTCAGATGCCAGGGCTCTCAGTAACACTTAGAGACCAATTCTCATTATTAACTAACTGCTTATTATCATGCATATAACTAGCATATTGACTGTTTATTAGTACGTATAAAGCACATATTAATGTCTTTTTCTGCATGACCATATTTCAGATCCCTTAATCCACCCAATACCTAAACTTAACAACTACCTTACTAACTATTCTGTGTTGTACATGCATGTATCTGTATGTTTCTTTGCTGGCTGTACTGTTTAAGTTGTTGCATGTTCTCGCCCACATCTCCTCCTCTCTCTCTCTAACCCACCCATCTTCAGGGAGCATGGAGCGCCTTCCACAGACTGAGCTCCCTCTCTTGGTCCCTTGACCCGACTGAGGGCTGGGACGGGCCAAAGAGCAGGCAGCCCCACAGCACGGCCGCCTGGATAATCCGTGTGGTAAATACAGCAAAATGTTACACAGCAGCCCTGCAGTGGGTGTTCAGCCGTGTCTACACTGGAAATAGCCAATTTGGCACACCTTCAGTTGATGAACTTTTTTATTGATTGAATTTTTTGTCATTTTTAATTATATTTTTCTAATTTTAATAATTAAAAATATGAATTGAATTATGTAAATTATAAATACCTATAAATTATCAACATTATACAAATAATTATGTAAATAATATAGTAAATATAAATATTTTTGAATGTATATAAATACAAGTTTTAATGATATTTGTCTAATTTAAATAATTAAGATTATTAGTTTAATTATTTAAATTCTAAATAAATAATTATAAATATAAATATTCTACGAGTAATTGTATAAATAATATATTAAATAAATACAGACAGATATATTTGAAATGTATATAATTAAAATGTATGTATTTTATGCATTCTAATAATAGTTAGGATAATATTTATGAGTTATTTAATATATTAAATAGTAAAATAAATATTGATGTATTTTGTTTTATTATATATATATATATATATATATATTATATTTATTATATAAAGAAATTGTACACATTATCAATAGTATTTATACAAGTCATTATATAAATTAATATATTGAATAAATATTACAATGTGTATATATAACATTATATTATTCTTATAAATATTTTAATAATTGTTTTATAATTTAAGCAATTTAAATAAAATGTGATTATTTAAATAAAATATGTATAAAATAAATATTTTGAAATCAAATTGATCACGTCCAGTGCAGACATTGTGTAAGAATTTTAGAAAGCTAGAACTCTTTAACAAACCTTCCCCAGATATCCTCAGGTTTCCAAATAACTACACACAGCAAAATGTGTTGTTATAAAATGCTAAAATTGTGTTCTCTACAATATGACTGTTCATTTTTCATATTATGATATTCATATATGATAATAATGTCATTTTCAAGCAATAGGAAGTAATGGGAATAAATAGTAATTTTCGAGGGAAGGCAGATGTATGAAATGTAAACCACACCATACCCTTGACTTTTCATGCAGAGAATCCGAGAGTCGTGGCATGGCATACGCATTGAAAATGTACTCATAACAATGATTATGTTGGACAGCTTTGATTTGGATTTGGACTGAATAAAAAAATGTATGCTGCATTTTTCATGTCAAAAACAACCGCAGCACATTACGAGAGTCACTAACATGATCTGTGGCTTCATAATACATCCTAACCATTTTTCCCAGCATGCACAGTGCTTTTCTTTCCATGACCCTGCTTGACTTGGGCTAATGAATGAAAATGAGTTATGAATGTGTTGACGTAGTGAGCCGTAGCCCATGGGTAGGAGCAGATGTGCAGCGTGTTGAGGGGTCGGGCTGGGCTCGCTGGGCTTCAGGTCCATCTGTTCCTGAGCCGCTGGAGCCGCCTGGATAATCATCTGGGCACGAGGCCAGACCAGGTCCCATCATGTCTTGACAAAGAGCATGTTGGGTAGCATTTACTACATTTCAAGGGTCACTGAAAAGACAGCATCGACATTAAGATGATGATGGAGAGGAAGCAGGAAAATACTTTATATTAATATGCTGGTAATTCTACGCCTTTATAGGAGCGAGTGTTATATTGAATATTCACAATTTACACTGGGTATAGAAAAGAATCACCCCCCTTTAAAATAACCACATCTTGTTGCTTTGCAGCCTGAAATTAACACAGTTTTTTGTTTTATCCAGCTGTATTTACTCAGTGCAACTTATTATATCCAAGTGAAAGATAAAACACCAACATGTCAGAAAAAAAATAAAAAACAGAATCACTAAGTTGGAAAAAGGATCACCCCCTTGTGTCAGTATTTTGTTGAACCACCTTTTGCTTTAATTACAGCCTTTAGTCTGTTGGGATATGTTTCTACTAACTTTGCACATCTAGACTTTACAATATTTGCCCGCTCTTCTTTGCAGAGCTGCTCAAGTTCAGTTAGATTTGATGGTGAGTGTTTGTGGACTGCAGTCTTCAAGTCATTCCTCAGATTTTCAGTGGGGTTTAGGTCTGGGCTCTGACGAGGCCATGCAAGAACATTCAGCTTTTTCTCCTTCAACCACTGTCTGCTCAGTTTTGTTGTGTGCTTTGGGTCATTGTCATGTTTGAAGGTAAACCTTCTTCCCATTGACAACTTTCTGGCAGAGGGCAGCAGATTTTCCTCAAGAATTTGACTGTATTTTGTCCCATCCATTTTTCCTTCTATCCTGACAAGTGCTCCAATCCCTGTTGCAGAGAAACACCCCATAACAGTGGGGTTTAAGTCTGGGCTCTGACTAGGCCATGCAAGGACATTCACCTTTTTCTCCTTCAACCACTGTGCTCAGTTTTGCTGAGTGCTTTATTGTCAGGTTGTAAGGTAAACCTTCTTCCCATTGACAACTTTCTGGCAGAGGGCAGCAGATTTTCCTCAAGAATTTGACTGTATTTTGTCCCATCCATTTTTCCTTCTATCCTGACAAGTGCTCCAGTCCCTGCTGCAGAGAAACACCCCAGAACAGGACATCACCACCTCCATGCTTTACTGGAGGAATGCTGTTATTTGGATGCTGAGCTGTATTGGATTTCCGCCAGAAATATCATTTGCTGTTGAGACCAAATAATTAAATTTTAGTCTCATCTGCCTCAGAATCCTAGAGGTGTGTTTTGGCAAAGCTCAGTCGTGACTGCATATGTGGCATTACTTGAGGAGAGGCTCTTTTCTTGCAACCCTCCCATACAAGCCACATTTGTGGAGAATTTGTGATATTGTTGTCACAAGCACACAATGACCACTCTTTGTCATAAATTCCTTCAGCTGCTTCAGAGTTGCTGTAGGCCTCTTGGTCACCTCTCTGACCAGTTTCCTCCGGCTCCTTCATCCAGTTTGGAGCGACGTCCTGATCCAGGGCGGGTCTGTGTTGTACCAAATACCTTCACTTCTTAATAATAGACTTCACTGTGCTTCAGTCGTGACTGCATATGTGGCATTACTTGAGGAGAGGCTCTTTTCTTGCAACCCTCCCATACAAGCCACATTTGTGGAGAATTTGTGATATTGTTGTCACAAGCACACAATGACCACTCTTTGTCATAAATTCCTTCAGCTGCTTCAGAGTTGCTGTAGGCCTCTTGGTCACCTCTCTGACCAGTTTCCTCCGGCTCCTTCATCCAGTTTGGAGCGACGTCCTGATCCAGGGCGGGTCTGTGTTGTACCAAATACCTTCACTTCTTAATAATAGACTTCACTGTGCTTATAGGCATTGATAAAGCCTTTGAAATCCATCTCCTGACTTGTGTCTGTCCACAACTTTATCCCGGAGATCTTCTGACGGTGTCTTGCCACCCATAATTGATTGATTGCTTCAGTTGCACCACCAAGGACTGAAATGCTCCAGGAAAGCTCTTTTCTTGCTGAGCTGATCAAAATGACCACAGTTAAATGTGATTATTTAAAGGGGGATGATTATGTTCTATACCCACTGTATTTGCAGTGATTTGGCTGGAGATGAAATTTATTTGGAGATGAGATAAACCATTTTTGTGCATAAAGTTTGTACTTATAATTAAATTAAGTTTTAAATTTAAATTTTAAATACATACTAATTGATTACATTTTTTGTATATGTATAAGATTTTTAAAACTGTAAATATTAACCTTAATTACAATTGAAATGTAGCATTTTTAGTTCATTTGATTCAATGAATTTATTCTTGTATGCATTTTATTAATGTTTTTAATTTAAGTAAAAATAACATTTAACTTATATAAAATGATTTAACCTGTGTATATAAACTGAAATGACAAAAATATAGTGTGTGTGTGTGTATATATATATATATATATATATATATATATCACCTAAATGGAAAATATAGACATTTCAAG